TTAAATTTTATCAGATTTATTTTTTTCAGAAAAAATCTGACATGTTCTGGGTTTCAGTTTGGCTAAGCAGTTCAGCCAAATTTCCGAGATACAGTATATTTTGTGTTTGAAACAAAACACATTTCCCATGTCATGCAGACCCCTGATTCATTGAATCTCACCTCATTAGGTTATTCTTGCTGCTACATTAGTTTAACTTACAATATTAACTACTGAGTAACAATGTGAAGGAGCCGTGTCAGAAAAGAAGTCAAATTACCAGAGGGAGCTAGGAGGACTTTGTATGGATGTATAGATGTCTACAGGTCCTGATAACAAAGAAAGATCCATATTATTAAGTTGGTTTGGTTTCTGAAATATCATACAAAAAAAGTTATTTCATTATTAAGCCATTTAGCTTAAATAGGATTATTGGTGTTAGTCCCTAACTGGAACCACTTGAGGTTTGTCTCAACTAATACCTTAACTATTGCTTTGTTGGTTTTCTGCTGAATGCTTTTCTTCAAGTGGAATGTCTGCTAGGATAGTATGTGTATCTTGTCATTATAATTGTTCAAATCTTCTATATCTGTTCCACATCATATTCAAGGTCTTAATACTAGAATGCTGAGATCAATGAAGATATTGGTACAAAAGGCAGATATCCTATCAAAATTGTTCATCAGAAATTTCTTTCATTCAGTGTTATAATTTAGGTGGAAGAGATTGTTGTGCTATTTCCTAGTAGATCCAGCTTTACTGTTTTACTTGTCCTTTCACCCTTCATGCTCAGTCTAGAGCTCCAAGTTCAAGAAATGACTAATTTAGATCTCTTTTCTCACTAAGGCAGCCTTTTCCAAATGCTCTTTAAATCCCACTTTGGCATGGATTTTCCTGAACTGACATGGCCTCATCTTCTTTTTTCTGCCATTACCTCTACAGGAAGTCCTCACTTAATGACCACAATAGGGACTGGAAAATTAGTTGTTAAGCAGAGCAGTTGTTAAGTGAGTCACCACATGACCAGACCCAATTTCGTGACCATTTTTATGGCGGTTGTTAAGCAAATCACCATGGTCGTTAAGCAAATCCAGCTTCCCCGATGGACGTTTTTTGTTGGAATTCACTTAATGGCCATGTGATTTGCTTAACGACTGCAGTGATTCGCTTAACACCATCATAAAAAAAAGGTTGCAAATCATGATCACGTGACCGTGGGCGGTGGTGGTGGTTTGCAATGGTCGTAAGTCCGAATATAGGTCATAAATAACTTTTTAAGGCCATTGTAACTTCGAACTGTCATTAAACGAACAGTCGCTAAGCAAGGACTACCTGTACAGTCTTTTCAAATTTCCCATCACATATTACCAGTTACTTTAACTTTTTAAAGATGCAGTTTCACTAGAATGCATAATACATATCCTCCTGGCCCTTAATCATAGTAATAAACATGTTCTTAGGTTGAAAGTGTTGTTGTATAATATGCACAGTTTTTATCGATTTAATTCATTAATTCATGTCTTCCAGGTTTATTTCTCATACTGGTTTTGCTTTTCTGTAGATGTATTTTGTAACTATTGTCTATTATCTAATGTAGCTTTCATGAATCAGATTTTTGTTGCTTCTGGTCTCAGGTTCACTATTCCTTCTCTGTCAGGTTGGTAGGTGGCTTGCTTTCCCTCAGTCCAGATTACTGCTTTGTTCTGGAAGATGAAGATGGCATCTGTGGTTATGCACTGGGTACTGTTGATGTAACCCCTTTCATTAAGAAATGTAAAATTGCCTGGATTCCTTTCATGCAGGAGAAATATAGCAAGCCAAGCGGCGATAAGGAACTATCAGAGGCGGAGGTTAGTCATGCCAGCTTATGTATTAATTGAACAATAATATGAGTACATGCTTCAGTTCCACTTCATCCTTAGATGACAAAAGTGGGAGCAATTTGTGCGGGTCCTTTCCAGTGTTAAATTTTAAATTTACAGAATGTATAATGTATATGATAAAAAGTTACTAAAAATCATTTTGCTCTTTGCCTCAAGAAATCCCCATTAATATATCTCCAGTTGCACTGTTTGAATTTGAATTGAAAAGGTTAAATTTTATCCTTACAAATTACCTTGAACTGTTGCCTGTCATAGCAACCTTTTTATAGGGATGTTTTTATTATGACATTTATGTTTAGATATCTGCATATGGACATGTTTTAGATTAGCCATTTCACCATTAAAACAATTCCTGCCCACATACATACCTCTCCCTCCTTCCTTCCAACAAAATCATAAGAAGAAAACATACAGAAAATGGGTAAAGAGAAAGCAGAACTGAACTGCACTGGAAAGGAAGTTGGGAATGAGAATGTATAATGGGAATATGGATAGATGGGCAAAAAATGATAAGCTCCTTAAAGCCTTACAAAAAGGATTAAACAAACCACACTAGTAGCAGCTAATGTTAAAGGCATCCATATTTTACAGCAATGAGGTTTGCAAGCATTTACATCTTTATACTGCTTGCTTTGTTTTCAATAGTTTCTTCCATTTTTATAAGCAGATTCCTCCACTCTATCCATTCACAAGTAATTATTTGGAGGAAAAACATTCTTCCTAAGTGTAAACATTTTTCACAGGAAAGCTCCTGCTGTTTTTCTAGTGCTGAGCACTTAATCTAAAACATAGATCAAATGAAGAAAGGGACAGCTCAGCATTCATAGCATTTAGTTAGTGTAGCATCTTTTCTGTGGAGTTTGGTCAAGTGTTTGGGCTAACCATAAGATCATCTGAAGGCCCTTGTTCAGCAAGTGTCCATAATGTTTCTAATGTACATTGTTAATAGTAAAAACATGTTTCTATTTTGTATATTATAGAAAATCATGCTGAGCTTTCATGAGGAGCAAGAAGTCCTGCCAGAAACATTCCTTGCCAACTTCCCATCACTGATAAAGATAGATATTCATAAAAAAGTGACAGATCCAAGTGTTGCTAAAAGCATGATGGCCTGTCTGCTGTCGTCTCTCAAGGCAAATGGTAAGCTGCTGTTGTTGCTTTTCAAGTTACTGAGATATGGAGGGCAATCATCACATTCTGCAGTTCTGGAAATAGCTTTACAAACTTTAATATCAGGTGGGGTATGTAAATAATCAGGAATGTGCAAACCATGTTCGTTCTTATTGGTACTTCCAGTATAGAGTACAGAGGTCAAATTTGTAATCTAGGAGTGATATGCAGTATTATCTATGTTTAAATTATTGTAATGAGTTTCACATGAAACTACGTTCCAAAAGTGTTTAGAAATAGCAGCTGCTCCTCAGCAGTTCACTTTCTTACTTGATGCTTGATATCAGTATCATAAGGAAGACTTATTATTGTGTGCCTCTCCATCACAAGGTCTTAAAATCCATCTTGGAAAGCCTACTAATCCATTTGCATCTGAAGTTCTATGAGATTATCAAGAAAGGATCAGTGGTTATAACTTTTATGTGGAACACTTTGCCCAGTTTCCTTAAATATCTTGGTTCATATGGACTTTTGGCTGCTTAACTTCCTTTGGAGTTGTAAATACTAAAAGGCACCTATAGTAGTATTGCTAATGAGCTTATGGAAGATTCATTTTTATTGACCTTTTGTCATATAGCATTGCAATAGAATAAATTGCATATTATGTTTCCATTCACAAACATGAATATCTCTAATCTGTAGCAATCTAGTGCTGAATCATTGCAGGTAGTAAGGCTGGACAATTTAACTATGCATTATCTTTGGGTTACTGCTTCTTTTAATGTATCAAAAAGGGGGGGAAATCCTCCAGAGAAGCTATCAGGGACATATACATATTACCAAATACAAGGATTTGAGGATTAAAAACAGAGAGTCATCAATGTTTCGATACCCTGTTTAAACACAGAAAAAGTTGTGACTAATAGAAGAGAATATATTGTAGCTCAGGGTTGAACTGTAGAGTCCTTGGGGTTCTCTGAGCTTGGTTGTTTTCTTGCAGATGTTTCATTACCCAACTAGATAACATCATCAGTGCTAGAAGGGAGTAGGGTTTGCTTTCTGCTTATATAGAGTAGCTTGCCCTATTAGTGTTGGAGACGGTGTTGTCCCCTCCCCTTGCTAGTTCCTAGATTAGGCTGTTTACTGCTTGATTCTTTTTCTGAGTTTGTAGTTATTAAAAAACACCTGA